AAATATATATATATATAATATACTCAACTTCCCCAGAAAAAGTGAAAAAGTGGACGTCAAACAATTACAAAGGACTATAGCTGCCATTCTGGTGACATGTATGCTAAACAAGTCCTTATTAGATGGTGAGGTACATGAAGGCAAGAGTATACACGTTTATTGCTTTTACTTCCATCTCCCAATCCAATATTTTTCACAAAAAATAGTTTTTATAAAACTAGGTAGAACGAATACCTGAACATCAATTTCAGACAATGTTTTTATCTGTTTTAGACTCTTAAACATAAGAATAGATTTGTGTCCTACAAGAACAACAGGCCAATAGCTCAGACTCTGGAAGGGCTGTGGTTATATAAAAGAACCATCTTTTAAAAAAAAAAAAACTAAAAAAACCCGAACCATCTTCTTTTCCAGAAGGGGGAAAAAGGAGTGTTCTAACTTTCTTTGTATGCCAACTTCAATATGCATAATAACCTTATTTTCTTTTTTACAATATAGAATGCCAGAGATCTCATCCAAATATATACTGTCAAAAACAAAGAAAACACTGGGCGCCTGGGTGGTTTAGCTGGTTAAGCATCTGACTCAGTTCCGGCTCAGGTCATGATCTCAGGATCCTGGGATCAAACTGCACGTTGGGCTCCCCGCTTAGCACAGAGTCTGGTTGAGATTCTCTCCCTCTCCCTCTGCCCCTTCCTCTCTGCACATGCCCCTCCTCTAAAAATAAATAAAATCTTCAAAACAAAACAAACCACGGAAAACACAAGGCTCTTTACTACAACATTGTTTGTAATAGCAAAAACAAAAACGAACACCTGAAGGGAAAACAATACACCATTAATAGGTGACCAGCTGAATAAATTAGGATAAAGCCATATAATACACTAATGTGCAGCTATAAAAAGGAAGGTGAAATAGCTATGTCTATCTATATTAATAAAGAGTGATCTTCAGAATATCTTCAGAATATATTTTTAACTTAAAAAGTATGATGGGGGGGGGCGCCTGGGTGGCTCAGTCGTTAAGTGTCTGCCTTCGGCTCAGGTCATGATCCCAGGGTCCTGGGATCGAGCCCCGCATGAGGCTCCCGCATGAGGCTTCCTCTCCCACTCCCCCTGCTTGTGTTCCCTCTCTCGCTGTGTCCCTCTCTGTCAAATAAATAAATAAAAACCTTAAAAAAAAAAGTATGATGGAGGAAAATGTATATATTATGTAACCATTTACATAAAAAGGAGGTGGAAGAATAACATAATTATATATATTTGCTTATTTTAAAAATGGTAGGACTATAAAAAAATTTAAATATTTAACTCTGGGGGAGAGAAGAAATAGGATAGAAGAAACAGCTATAAAAGTTAAACTTATTTGACTATAATCCTTGTTTTGTAGATTTTACTTTGGAACTATGTAAATATTTTATACTAAATATTTTATATTTTAGATTAATGTTGACATAAGATTTAAAGTAAAATTAATTAAAAAAAATGTTTTTCAGGAGGGGTGGGGCCAGAGGAAGAGGGAGAGAGAGAATCTTAAGCAGACTCCATGCCCAGCAGGGAGTCTGATGTGGGGCTCTATCTCACAACCCTGAGATCATGACCTCAGCCAAAATCAAGAGTCAGACTTTTTTTTTTTAAAGATTTTATTTATTTGACAGAGAGAGACACAGTGAGAGAGGGAACACAAGCAGGGGGAGTGGGAGAGGGAGAGGGAGAGGGAGAAGCAGGCTTCCTGCAGATCAGGGAGCCCGAAGCGGGGCTCGATCCCAGGACTCTGGGACCATGACCTGAGCCGAAGGCAGACACTTAACAACTGAGCCACTCAGGCGCCCCAAGAGTCAGACTCTTAACTGAAGGCAGCTGCTTAACAGACTGAGCCACCCCACTGATTAAAAAATTTTTTTTATATGCAATCTATAATAAAAGCAAAATGAATAAACAAAGCTTGGGGCGCCTGGGTGGCTCAGTCAGTTAAGTGGCTGCTTTCAGCTCAGGTCATGATCCCAGGGTCCTGAGATCGAGTCCTGCATTGGGCTCCCTGCTTCTCCCTCTCCACCACTGTGCTCTCTTGTGCATGCGCTCTCTCTCCCTTCCTCCCTCAAATAAATATTAAAAAAAGAAAGAAAGAAACAAAGTTTAATGAGGCATAATCACAGAGAGGAAATACTCAACGCTTCTTTAAGAGGGTAATTTATATCATACCTAATAAAATATACCAAGGGAATAAAAAGAAATGCAAAGAGATCTTAAATTACTTTCACTTAGTGGTGGTAGTGTCATATTATTCTTCTAAGACTACTGTATATAGAGTGTAGGACAGAACATATACTACCATTGAAAAAGAGAATTTTTAGTGTAAGAGAAAGAAAATATAGATGTAAGATTGTTAAGCCCCCCAATATTTACTGAGAAATGTCAATATATATTAACCTTTGAGATAAAAAAAGATGTATTTTATCTTTGAAAAACTTTATCAAAGTATTTTCTAGCCTGTCCATTAAAAAACCCAGAAAGAATAACCAACTCTGTAGCAATTATCACTCCTATCATCCAGACTGTGGTCTTTAAGTATCATTTCTCACTAAAAGAGTAAGGTCTCCTTGAAGAAAAGGCTGATTCCAAGTCTGGGGAAGAAATGTGTAAGATGACCCTAGAACACTACCATGCTAGAAAGTGAAGAAGCTATCAAAGATTAGATTATTAAGACTTATTCAAGAAGTTTTAAAACAAACATACAACAAAAAATACCTTGTTGGTCACTTCTGGAGGAACCCATGAAACAACTAATTATTATAAATTTTGGTAAATAAAGGGATATAATCAAATATATATATCCTGTATTTGTTATATAAATTGTACCTCAGGGTAATCAAATAGCTGACATGGGAAACTATGTCAGCTTATAAATTTTTTTGGTTAAAGATTTCATTTATTTATTTATTTATTTATTTATTTATTTATTTATTTGAGAGAGAGAGAGAGAGGGAGAGAGAGAGACAGGGCAAGTGGCGGGGGGGGGGGAGGGAAAGAAGGGGGAAAGAATCTCAAGCGGACTCCACGCTAAGTGCAGGGTGGATCCAACAACCTGAAGCCGAAACCAAGAGTTCGATGCTCAACCAACTAGGCCACCTAGGCGTCCCCCAGCTTATAAATTAAGAAGGAATAATAACATTAGAATATCCACATTTTGTAACCCTTTATAAATTAATGGATTTAGGCAATGATCAATGGTTACAAGCATCATAAAAAGACAGACATTATGTTCTTCCTTAGGAAAGTACTCAATACATATGAAGTAGTCTTGAATTTTATAAAAATATATCTAATCACCAATTTGCAGGAAATACAGAAGACAGAGCAACATATTAACAGTACAGTAATCCAATCAGCAAAATTCAGATCAAGAAACTGCACATCAACTGACCCAGTTTCTTTAGTACCAAAGTTTAAGAGAGAGTCGTCCATAAATTAAAAGAAACATCAGACATACATCAGCCAATTATAATACATGGACCTTACTTAGATCCCAATTCTAACAAAGAAACTTAAAAACATATATATATACACACACACAACATACTGGGAATAAAAATAGTAGATATTTAATTATATTAGTAATTTACTATTTATTTGTATAGGTAAAGACAATGGTATTGTTAACTAAGCTTTGAAAAAGAAAGTCCCTATCGTTTACACATATATACTGAAATAGTTACAGATGAAAATAATAATATCTGTGATTTGCTTCAAAATAAAGGAAGTGGGGAGCAGAGGGTGGTATAGATGAAATAAGAGTGGCCATGAACTGATCATTGTTCAAACTGTATAATGGGTACATGGGGGTTCATTATTCCATTTTCTCCTTTATTTCTATTGGAAATCTTCAATAATAAAAACAAGTATTTAGAGTGACCAAAGAAAAGATCCTGAAACAAGTAAAATTTTTGTAGACAGATACAGGAAAAGAAAATCACTTGGGACATTTTATGTTAAGTGGTGGGAAAATAGGTATTGGCTCAGCTATGGAGCAATACAGATTTGCTAGGAGGTAAGTAACCCTAGAGGGTAGACTCAACAGACGTATTACTACAACCCTCTCTTGGGAATTTTGCCAATTCAAAAGTATATGACCTAACTACTTTCATAACACTATATATTTTTTCTTGTTTTATAGTTATTTGTGTAATCTTTTTTCTCCTTATTAGAGGAATTAAAATATTTTATTAAGCATCACATTATTCTGCAATCATTTAGTATTTGTTTGCTGAATTAAGAGTTGAAACAAAAAACTGGTCTAACCACTGTGCACCTCTTATTAAATGTCCACGTGTCGTTTTTTAAATCTAGTGTTAAGATCTCCTATTACTTTTATTTTATAGTCCCAAAAATGTTTTCTCATATGTTAAGTTCACCTTATAGACCAACAATGCTATATTGTGAGCAGGAAAGAAATGAGTACAATTTTACCAACATGGAAGCTAAGTAGAGAACAGATCAGTAACTGCCCAAAAGCACTTAACTTAGTAGCAAAGTTGGGTCTCAAAACTAGGTCTTCAGGAACTAAATCTAGGGTTTCTTCTGCTTCATAAATCCATCACCATTCTAAACTGAGAAGTTCAAAGATTACCCTAGATTTAGGCACTTCAAAAGGGATATTCTATTGTGCAGGTTATCTTGAATAGGACCCTGCTATCTTAAAACCAGAATAAAGTACTAAAGTAAATTTGTATTACAAAAACTGTGTCGTTTAGTTCCTACTATGGTCAATTTAACCACCAATCCCAACCAAGTTTGATAAGTCCAAATAAAATTATACAGGAATCAGATTTTTAAAAATTCCTAGCACTGAATTCAAGAGGAATCCTGACACCTTGTCCTAATTATCTAGCTACCAAATTCCTGCTTTGGTACCCATTTTATTACTATAAAGTTTAAAATTATAACTATTAAGTAAAATTCAATACTCAATCTTAAAACATTTAGAGTCAATGCCATTTTATTTTCTAGAATCATTCCTATAAACGATAAAATGCAAAAAATTATATTTAGATAGCTAGACTTTGAAACTTAACACCTAATTTTCACAATGTCATAGTTAAAAAATAATAATCTGTGTGTCAACCATACATCAATAAAATTTTTTTAAAGATCTGAACAATCTAATAATGATTATAATGACAATAATGTTTCTAATCAGCAATCACAACTTTAATCATTATACTGGATAAATTCCTAGCCACTCTGTTATGAGTTCTTTCACTGAAGATGACATTAGGTACTAAAAATTAAGTAACATCTTCATAGAGTCTGTACATATTTAAAATTATAGAAAGTTTAAACTTTAGCTACAGTTACAATGTATCTATAAATGGCAGTATAATGTTTAATCTGATCATATATGATATGCCTGCTTCCTTTTTAGTCTATGCCATAATAAGGGTATCAGAAATTAAATAAAAAGGTGTTATGGCCGGCAAAATTAAAATCCACAAATGTCTGTGAAAAAATTCACTTGTCAGAAACATAACACGGTATCTTTAATATGAGAGTCATGAAAGTTTAAAAGGTAAAGGTTTCACACCTTAAAATTATACAAGAATTTAATGAAGCTCTAGCAATACCTTCTTTGCAGCTTCCCCCCCTTGGCATTATATGCAATAATACAGTTAAAACATATCCAACACTTTCCTTGGATGATATTAAGTAAATGGGAAATTGCTCCATTTTTACATACCTTGACATAGATCACAGGGAGCGTCTGTTTGGCTCGACTATAGTGTCTGGCAACTCTGTATACTGTTTCCGGAACATAGTCCAGCACCAGATTAAGATAGACTTCATCTTTCTGAAAGAGTTTATTAAAAACAAACAGAAAAACAAAATTAGGAACTAGTCTTTTAAATATTCAGAGTAAAATCTCTATACATTTATTCAGATTTTTTCACTTATTCACATTTTTAAGATTCATGCATTCAATTTTAATTATACAAAAGTAATTCAGAATATAACCATAATAGTAAAAACAAGTCTACCATACCTTTTTACTAATAATTTCATGGAAAAAAACATAGCCATTTCAATACTGCTAAGATTTCCAATTATATTTAAACTATTATTTTGGTAATAAGATTTTAGAGGATATCACCTGTCACAAAATTTCCTGTTTTCTAGTTTGAGAATCAGTGCCCTCATATCCTATCAGGAAAGCTGTCATGGTAGTAGAGTGAGTACTAAAAAGGGAATGAAGATTTCCAGCCCTCTGCTGCTAACTAAGGTATGCTAACTAACATATCACTTAATCTCTCTAGGCTTCAGTTCCTTCAACTAGAATATGAAAAATTGGACTAGATGTTCTTCAAAATTTCTCTAAGCTCTACAAAAAAGATTCTATGGTTATCTGATAGTCTATAATTATAATAATCACTTGTCTTCTACAAGTAACTGAAAGAAAAAGAGTAATTTATAAGGCAGCAAGTTACCATACTCACAAGCTTATTGCAGGTCATATGTTTAAACATCCTTTCTCAGCAGCCTAAAGACACTAATCGAAGATCAGTAGATAGAAAGAAGGGAATTCCAACTAAGTACCAAGTAGGAAAGAGGAACAGAGTGCTATCTTTACTCTGTTCCTGTGAACAGTATCAGATAGGGCAATTGAAGCAGAAAACAAAGTTGAGAATCACTGTGTTCAAGTCTAGAATTGGCTACTGAAGGGGAAAATCTGTACGTAAGCAAACTTTCACAATCGTCCCAATTTGAAATCATGTTACCTACCAAAATGAAGTGAAGAATTTCAATTTTCAGCATTTATTGAGCATTTTCTATAGGTCAGTAGCCACTGCAGAGGAAGTAAAGGTGGACGTATAAAAGAGACGACATCTAAGTTGAGTATGAAAGGTGCATTTAAGGCATAGAAAAACTGTATCAAGATGTGGGGTCAATGAAAACAGCAGAGCTCAGGAAACTGTTGAGTGAGACAGCATGCCATTGACTCTACTACCTTTTCATTATCCCTCACTCTTCCACGTTCTCCTCTCTTCTCTCCATATCCAGCTTAAATTATAAGGTCTACCATTACCCTCATTCTCTAACACACGGTCAGTAAACAACAGCAAAGGTCTGCTGCCTGTTTTTATAAATAAAGTTTTATAGAAACATAGCAATGCTCATTCATGTAAGAACTGTCTATGGCTGCTTTGGGGCAGAGCTGAGTAGTTATAACTGAGACCACAGCCTGCAAAACCAAAAATATTTACTATCTGGCCTTTTATGAAAAAATGTGCCAAGTCTGCTCTAGCATATATCCTTCTCTTATATCATACCTGTTTGATAAACCACAACTCTGGTTAAATCTAGCTGCCCATTCATTCCATGGCTGCCCATTCATTCCATGCCTGTACCCAAACTGCTGAACATGGCTACAAAGAAACCTAAAACTGTGCTGCTTGGTTTTACAGTAAATTCGTCATCAAGAAATTCAATTGGCCCAGCAATCATATATTTGCCTAGTCCATTCACTTTTCCCAAGTACTTGACTTCTTCTTTCACTTTGATCTCCAATACCTGTCTTCCCATCCTCACCCCCAGCTGGTGACCTTGCTTGCACCACTACATGTGCCCATCTACAGCACCTAACCCCATATGCTCCTCTTTCCCTTCTCTTACTAGGGATAAAGTGACCAAGCTCCTTTTTAAGGTAAACCCTGCTACATGTAAAAAATGATACTATTCTGCTTTTCCTAATCACAATCAGCGCTTCAGTAATTTTCATAACTCTCTTCATTAATTATTCTCTCTGTGGGAGCATTAAAATCCGCACACAAACTTGCTGTTATTTCTCCCATCGTTAAAAAGAAAACTCTAACTGCACTAATTAGCACCATATTTTCTGCCCTCCTTTAACAGTAAAATTCCTCCAAAGAGGTGTCTAAACTGACATTCTCCAATACCAGTCTCTTCTCACTCTCTCTGAAACTTACTCCAAATAGGACTTGATCACCACTGCTCCACCAGAATTGTTCCTTAAGATCAGTAACCCCTTGTTGCTGAGTCCAATGTCAATTGTCAGTCATCATCTTATCTCTCCTTTCTATTTGACTGAGCACTACTATTTAACATAGTTGGATCATGTTCCCTTCTTTTGAATATTTGCTTTACTTGGGTTCTAAAACACTTTACTCTTCTGGTTTTCATCTTACCTTAAAGACCACTCTTCTTGCTCTCCCATTTCTGGCTCATTCTATTCCCCTTTCTCTCTTAAGGAATGGAGGATCCCAGGACTCAGTCAGATCTCTGTTCTTTATGTAAGCTCACTCCTGTTATGATCTCATCCAGTCAGGTGGTTCGATACTACTCTACATTGATGACTCCCAAATTCATATATATGCTGGACCTCTGCTTTTAACTCCAGACTAGTATGTCAAATTGTGTACTTGACATTGCTCAGGCTAAAAACCTTAGAATCATCATTAATTCCCCACCCTCCTCTTTCTCTCACACATATACATACACCAAAAGAAGTATTAATGGTTCTACCTTTAAAATTTATTCAGGATCCAACCATTTCTTACCATCTTCACTGCTACAATCCTAGTCTGAACCACGAGCACCTCTCACCTGGATTATTGCAATATCCTAAAAGGCCTTCCTGCTTCCACCTTTACCCCTTTGGTCTAATATCAACAAAACAGAAGTTAGATGGTAGCTCTTCCACTCTACCTTATTAAGATTTATTCTTATAAGTGGTCTACAAGGTCCTCCACACATACTTATTTCCCTGTCCTCTACTCTACTGCTGCCCTGTTGCTTGCTCTTCTCTACTGACAATAGCTTCCTGCTGTTTCTTGAACACATATGGCAGGCTTTCACATTCAGGGCTTCTACACTGATCACTCCTTCAGCCTGGTATGTTCTCTCCCTCAGATAGACATACTGTTCACTTCTCTCAACTCCTTCAAATCTTTGCTAAAATTTTACTGTTTTAGAGTGGCTTTCCCTAATTGGGCTTTCCCCAATTTCTCCACCCCACACTCCTACCTGCCCTCCCCCCTTTATTTTTCCCCATGATACTTATCATTTTCTAACCACATAGTTTACTTTGTATTGTCTGCTTCCCCCTCAACTAGACTAAGCTCAATGACAGATAAGATTTTTGTCTGTTTTGTTCACTATTCTTCTCCACCTAGAATACTGCCTAGCACATAGTAGATGCTCAATAAATATTTGCTGAATAAATTAAGCTCAAAGGGAATGGATATTATTTAAGAATTAGGATGGCAGTCTTACAGGTCTGCTTTAACTCAAACAGCACTGTGAAAAGTGGGTATGGAGAGGGGGAAAGAGGGAAGGTGAGAGTGAAAGCAGTGTGAGCTTCCAGAAACTTCCTACAAGTGTCCAAGACCTAGACTAGGGCTTAGGCAATAAGGACTGAAAGAAAAGGGAGATTGAGAGGGGCAGGCATATTGGCTACCTAAACATGACAGTAATAGAGAACCTGAGAAACAAAGAAAGGATTAATTAAACAGTCTCTAAACTTGGGTGACTAGGCAGGTAATGAAACAAGGAAAGCATAAAGAGGAAAAAGGTGTGAAGGAAAAGTTTTAACTTTTACTTAATGGATCTTGGATCTCAGAACATTTTAGGCGGCTATGTTCCACAGGTAGCTGGAAATACAGGTCACGTCAAAACTCAGAAAAGAAGAATGGAGTATGTGTAGAGATTTAGACAACAGCTAAAACTGAGAACAGCCTCACTCACCTAAGAAGAGTGTGCACAGTAAGAGAGTGAGAAGAAACTGAGTTTGGAATCCAGGAAAACGCTAACCTTAAGGAGCAGATTACATTAGGGGACAACTTTGTAAAGACTAAGAAACAGAACTAAGAGGCATTAAAAGCATCAAAATGAGTTGCTGCTCTTATTTGGGACCAAAATTTATGCCTTTCTCTTTAAAACCCTGATGTAATTTGACAGTTGTCATACCTGGAATGATCTAAAAAGCTTAGGAAGTTAATTGTCCTTCTGTTTCCATCTTAACTCTAGTGCTTTTGGTGTCTGAAGTTATATAAAGAAACAACTAAATGGAATGTATGCATGCACATATATGTGTGTGTGCACATGCTCACACTTGTATATAAAGCAGCAACTACTTAAAAATTATTAATGACCTTGAGATAAATAGGAGAAGATTATGTACATGTACTCTAGATGATTGGGACTTTAATCAGTGAACGTCAGAATTTATTATAAGGTCGTCCCTTCCTTTTTCAGTAATTTAATGAGTTCCTTTAAATGTGACATAACAAGGAAGAGCCCAAACAAAATGATCAAGTTTTACCTGTTAATAAAATGTTGGTATATGTTCACTTAGAAGCTCCTCTCTTTTCCAATTTGAATAGCTTCTTTTCTTTTTGAAGAAGCTGTTTTCTTTTCATATGATTAGAGGTGGTCTCTAGGCCACTGGACTGGAGTGGTGGGGGGTGGGAAGGATGGGGTGGCTGGGTGAGAGACATTGGGGAGGGTATGTGCCATGGTGAGCACTGTGAATTGTGTAAGACTGTTGAATCACAGACCTGTACCTCTGAAACTAATAATACATTGTATGTTAAAAAAAAAAAAAAGAAGATAGTAGGAAGGGGGGGAAATCGGAGGGGGAGACGAACCATGAGAGACTATGGACTCTGAGAAACAAACTGAGGGTTCTGGGGGGGGGGATGGGTTAGCCTGGTGATGGGTATTAAAGGGGGCACGTACTGAATGGAGCACTGGGTGTTATATGCAAACAATGAATCATGGAACACTACATCAAAAACTAATGATGTAATGTATGGTGATTAACATAACAATAAA